ACCAGGACTTTTACCAAATTTAAGTTTATTTATCAGTTTAAGAATTTCATGACTACAGGTTTGAATATTATCTAAAAAAGGAAATATGCCAGCATGGTCCCTGCACAAAAGCTCAGGAGTGTTAGGAGTCGCTTGTTCAGAGAAGTTGGAAGAAAAATAATCATTAAATGCTTGAGCAATCTGAGATGCATTACAAATCGTAGTCTCGTTAATTCTAAAATTAGATGGTACAGGTTGTGCTCTTCGACTACGCACATATGACCAAAAGGCCTTACCATTATCTGAGCACCTATTTGCTAAATCAGTTATATATCTCTGATATGCAATCTTTGTTTCAAATTTTACCTTATTTCTATATAAAATCACACCATAAACGTACGTTTTCAGGTCATGTTTGTGTCAGTTGTTATAGGTTTGATTAACGGTCCGGAAAGGTTCATTCTTTATTTCTATTAATACCGTATATCATATCGAAGGAACACAATGTAGGTCTACGTAAAATGAAGAACTATGAATTACATAGTATATTAATATTGATTTCAAATCTATTGCATCGTATATACATTGAAGCATAAAATGACTTGACTAAAAACTTAACCTCTCAACCAGGAAATTCATAAGGCTCAAAAGTTCGTCTGAACTACTGTATTGTTGACTGAAAGTGTAAAATGACTAGTGTACAATGGGAACCTTTAATAACCTCACAAATCAAGCGATTAAAAAACCCCAGCAATATCAAATTGATTAATGCAATGAATAAATATTAATTGAGACGTAACAAAAGAGGAATTTAAAAAATAAAGTAAAAAAAGATGATTTCCAAGCTGCGACATATAAGCTTTTCTAACTTACCCAGCTGTCCTATACCCCCCCCCCCCCCCCCCCCGCATGGAAAAAGGGCATAACTGACATTTTTGGGCGAAATTGAGTTATATAGCCTAGTGGGATCAGTACATCATGTTACACATGTACACAAACAAATTTTAAAAAAGTGTCCCCCGGGCTAGATAGGGGCATGGCAAAATGGCATGACTACACAATTTCAGTAAATTCCCAAGGCAAAAGGGCATAACTGCAAAGATAGGCTGTGATACACTTAAGCGTGACGTTCTTTCAACAGCCAACCAATCAGAAGAGAGCTTTCTCCCTGGTAACAATGAAGGTTGCTTGTTTAGTTTTATTATTTTTATTATTCTTACTGTTTGTGCACTCAGTTTGTAAATAGAAATTGGTTAAATAGTATGCTTCTTGACAGTAGCATATGTTTAGTTAACGTTAGGCAAACATGATAAGTCTAGTTAATTAGTGCTATATAATCTTGCCTTACATTAAATGGCATACAGTGGAATACTATGGAAATAAATCTATGGAAAGATAGTAACTGTTTAATAAAAAAATAATTAACCATGGCAGAATAACAATTCCTATTTTAACTAGAAATATAGACTTATAGAAAAAGGAGGTCTCCGGTGAGAATCGAACCCGCAATCTCTCGCTATCTCGGTGAGCATCATACCGTTTAGACCACATAGGCCCGTACGTTATCATTTCGGACTGTATTATTATCTATTTGATTTATACTTTATTTGTGTTTGTTTTCTTACCTGGCAAAGCATGAAAAGGGTTAATAACCGGAAGTACACGCTATATTTTCAATAAAGTTGTGGTAAATTATAAAATCTTCGAGTTTCAATTTATGTACGGTATCATTTGCCTATGCAGCCTTTCTTATTGTTATTATTATTATTATTATTATTATTATTATTATTATTATTATTATTATTATTATTATTATATATGGCATTGTTTCTACCATTATTTATATATATGTAGTCATAAATATTTTTTTTTTAAATGGTATAGTATCTATGATCTTTACGTTATTATTCCTTTATTTGAGCATTTTTTTTATCATTATTTGATTATATAACAGAAGAATCTGACAACGAAAGAAAATCAGCTTCCACAGGCACTCAAAGTAGAGATCATTCGCATAAGCAACATGGCGGACGCCGCTTGCTGTTCCTGAATATTTTTCCTTATGCTTTTAAATATTATTATAAATAATATCATTATTTTGTTTTAAATTATGATAATTATAAAATGATGTTATAATATGAATGATTTATCATGTTATTTTATTAGATATTATCATCAGTAACGTCGAGATGTAGATATCTAAAAGGCTGTAGCTTCTGAGATCTTCTCCCCGGACCATTTGGGCCTTACTTGACCCTCCTCGTCCCCCTAAGTAGCCTCCAGACCCCTGCAATTTGGACCTTAGCAGTTCCAAGGAACCAAGAGAGATGTTCTCCTAGGGGACAACCTAATGCCATATACACGCTGTAAAGCGGATCTATTAATAGATATCATGTCAAATAACCGTTGACAAATCTATTACAAAGCACATTTATGTCTTTTTACTCTAGTACCAAGTGGTGGCAGAGTGTGGTCTAAATTTTCAGGGGTGGATAAAGTGAAAATGTGGGTAGGGAGGCCATGGGACTGCGAAGCACCAACCGAGAGTGGGAGAATGTGTTTGTGGTTGAAGTAGGCCTATGCTTGACAACAGATGCTGATAGGCCTACATGACATTAATTTGTCTTCTTCCACACATGAGTAGGTCTATCTGTCCTCGTCTGCAAGTATGCTCCCGGGGTAATGGAGCGGCTGTGGCGACATTGACAATGCCTATCAGTGGCGTCGAGAGCCAGTAAGGGCCCCGGGGCAACATCTCACATAGGGGGGCCCCTCCACTTGGGACCGCCACTCGGCCGCTCCCCAAATTAAGTCTCCTCCTAAGAGTTTGTTCTTACAACAAAAGTTTTCATCCTGGCTTGGGCTCGGGGCCTATGGAGATTTTGTTCTTACCCCGAAAAGTTTTCATCTTGGTCCGGGCCCCCCAGTATACCCGGGCCCCAGGGCAGCGAGCGCCCCCCCCCCTCTCGACGCCACTGATGCCCTTTCCTACAGAAAATACTTAGAGGAAGGCACTCTCATCTTAAACTTAAACAGGAAAAACTTTAAAATTCAATTTTTTGTTTTCGCAACATCAAAATAGCAATACTTGTGGTTGTTATAGGAAATTCTCGGGAGACTGAAGTTCAATGTTATTTAAATTTTCAATTGCAAAGTAGCTATGTCACTAATCAAAAAACTTCCACTACACACTTTGGGTATGTTGTAGTGAAGTAGGCAATAAAATGTTTCATGAACCTGACCACATGTCTAAGATGATTTATAATCAGTGGGATGGATCTATGATCATTCTCAAATATAAGCGGAAATTTGGAGGGACAAACTCACCAAAAGCGACACAATCCTCTCATTCGGGGTAGTTTGAATCTATGAACCTATACCATTATATATAAATAAATAAAGGTATATGATAGAGCTTATATATATATATATATA